CAGATATTTGAATCCACATCGACTTAGTAGAGAGAGAGAGAGAGTAGCTAAAATTGTCAATAATAATAATTTATAATGGTAACGATAACATACACATACACATGCCATAATAAAACAAATGCATACTCGAGAATTAGTCATTACACTAGTCGAATATATTTGGTGGTGGTAAATTATCCCCAATCTTTTATTTCTTAAAAAAAGGAAAGAAATATCAACAACAGAAAAAAGTGTGTCTGAAAGAATAAGTTACTGGTTGGTTATCTGTACACTTGTCTGCACACTTACACACGCATACATACATATTTGAACATACGAACATCATCTGTCTTGGCATCAAGAGGAGAAAATTGCTAGACGAATATATGCATATATGTACATATATCCCTGCCTCAGTTAAGAGACAAACTGTATCTTGGTGTCTCTATTTAAGTCACTTTTGAAAAGATAGAAGCAAAAAATTAGAAGAAATTAAGATAGAACACACTTGCCTTTCAAGAATTTTCTCTCACTGCAGAAATTGAAGGTGTTAGTTAAGGCTATGAGGTGGTGGACAGAAGGTGAATAAAAAAAATTAGGCATGGATGAGTGGAGGTAGTGAACATATATATATATATACATAAAGAATGACCTTCAGATATCCCTTTTAATTTGCTCGATTCGAGTTTCACCTGACAATTAACAGTTTGTCGTCTTATCACATCTTAATTTTCTGAAAGTGTGTTGAGGTGACTCATATAGGTTGTTGTACCTGCCATTTTGTCTCGCAGTATGTATATATATATATATATATATATATATATATATGTTTGACTATGGTTTCTATTGTTTGTTGCAGGTGTTGTTCATCAGTGCTGTTGCCTACTTTAGGCGACCAATATAGAGAAATTTTAAGATGGTGAATAAGTAAATAAATAAATATTTTCCCGTTCACTTTGAAATTATAAAATATAATTTATCTGTGAATACTTTAAAAAAATGTATTGGTTGACTGATTTTAACTTGATGCATTGTTTATGTTTTCTTTCACTTAGCCTAGACAGTGTATGACAGTGTATTCGTCACAGGTGGAAATGGATATGGTGGAGTCAGCTAGTCAGCCAGCCAATCAGTGGTCTGTTCGACTGCTGCTTTAATACTTCGTCTATCATATATTAATTATGATGTCTTTTGCTACTGGTTGTTGCACTTCAGCTATCCTAATCTCTACTACTTCTTCTTCTTCTTCCTTAACCAACACCCATCCCCTCCCAGGCTAATTAATTTATCACCCTTTTTCTTTTGCACATCATCATCATCATCAGTGTTTATCAATTGATTGTTTCCCTGTTCAATCAACTAGACTTTTCGATTAGACAGCAGTCATCATCTTTTCGCCTATATAAGTAACCTTCCATGCTTATGTTGTTGATATTGATTTTAGTATACATATATACAGTATAACTGTTTTTCTTTTCCTTACTACTATTATTATTATTATTTTGGAGACAGCTACATAATCATCATCAGGTCTCGTACAATTCTTCAGTGGTGTTATTTTGTGACAGTAAGAAGAAGAATAAGCTCTATACTAAATAATACTGTGCAACAAACACTCTTGAAGGAGGCGATGGGGCCTGGAGGGGGGGTGCGGTTGAGGGTCAAACTCATACATACTAACGAAAACAAGCATGTAGCAATTTATACTTACGTGTTCAGTATATAATATAAACCTATCAAATTTTGATGGGATTAAGAAAGTGAGAGAAGGAAAACAATGTGTTGGACGGGCAAGGGGGTTGAATACATACACATAGGAGAAAGAGAGAGAAAGAATCAGGCGGAGTGGGGAGGGGGAACCAATAAAGCGAGTATTGGTTTGACAGATGTCCACCATCAGAATAGAACTGACAGAGTATTAATGTGAATAGTAACAGTATGTTAGCATCAACAGATGGTATACTAATTATATTAACAGCAAAATTAAAGTAGAAGTATTATTTTCCAGAAAAAAAATAAACTTGTCCAAAAAACTCCCTTCTCTCTTTGTCATACTTGTCATATTTGATTAATTGCAGTGGTCAAGATTACACACACACACACACACACACACACACTCAGGAACATAAATATGCAAACAGATAAACAAATCATTCCTTTATTGTTACTTCACTTCCATTGTTGTTAAAGACGAAAATAAACATCACTTGAAGAAGGAATGCTACAAGTTGATGGATAACATAAAGTAGTGACACTGAGTAGTCGTTGAAGTGTGTAAGACATGCCAATACCAGCACCAACAGCACCACCCTCTTTAATGTTGTTGACTGCTCGCATCTTGATAAGTAAAGAGTAAATTTTGAACCGGTGTAACCATCAGTACCGTGTAATATTTAACGGTACACATCGATTGTAAATTGACTGATGATATTAGATATGGTGTTATTCAAAAATGCATAGGATTATCAGTGAACTAGAATTTGTACATACTTATAAATATATTTGAACAGCCTAGTACTGTTTAGCCCATAAATTCATTTTAGTGGATTTCAAATAATCGGGCTGACAGTTCTATGCTTTTATTGTGTTATTATTGTAAGGATCATGTTTATCTAAAATAATACTTGATTAAACTGGGATGGATACGGACAACTTACGCGAGTAGAAACGGGATTTTTCCCATATGAACCCCATCCACAACTAATCACAAAAGATAAGGTCTTTCAACACAATTCTGTTTTTTCTATAGTTTTGATTTGCAAGGGTTAGTTATGTTTTTACGAGTTGATCACGGATTGATATCAGTTAGAGAACCATTGAAATCCAGGGAGTACTGGACAACTGCTGTTTCATCAGCCTAGTTTGGGAATCATCGGGAGTACACACCCACTGCCAGGGTTCAAACCCAGGACCTTCCGGTTACAAGGCCACCGAGCTCGTATACCATTCAGCCACTGGGACCCAATTCAATGGCTAACGCATGAATTCTAACTTCTACCAATTCGTGATTTAGCGCGACCCCAACCATTGTTGTTGGTGGGACATCCCCATTCACACACGTGACATCTAATAGGACCGCACTGGTCACGAATTCTCACTAGAACTGACTCCAGGAAACTCCATCTTGTAGCAAGTCACTAACCGGAAGGTCCTGGGTTTGAACCCTGGCGGTGGGTGTGTACTGCCGATGATTCCCAAACTAGGCTGATGAAACTGCAGCTGTCCAGTACTCTCTGGTTTTCCAGTGGTTCTCTAACTGATATCAATCCGTGATCAACTCGTGAAAACAATTCTGTTTACTTTTTTGATCAAAATATGGGTAATGTAGAGAGACGAACCTACTCTTATTTGTGACTGGTGTACACTTCACTGTCTTTCAACAACATTCTACCCCCCCCCCCCACGCCATTCATAATCGAATGCATCTGGGCCTCACATTTAGACTGTGGACTTCGAATGACTGACATACGGATTTCTATTTTAACCATATCTGATAAAGGCGTAGTGGTGTAGTTTACAGACTAACAAACGAATCTGTCTGTATGTGGCTAGTGAATTATGTCTCAGAATAGGACAGATACATCAGTTTGTTTTATGACGTAGTTTATGTTTTCGTTTTTTCCTCTCATAAATAAATAATAAAGTAGTTTTATAAAACACACCTGAGAATTAATTACACTACTATTCATATCTATCTTGCCTATGTACCATTTGTACTTTTAAGTTAATACATTGATAAGACAGGTAGGTAGAGCTGAAAGCAAGATATATCTCTTATCTTAATGAGATTATGCCCACCGCAAGCTGCCATCTCTCGTCGTCTGTTTTTCTCTCTTCATCGATTTCTCTGTGTGTGTGTGTGTGTGTGTGTGTACGTGTGTTTATATTTGGTCAATGATAACAAACCTTTCACAAATAAAAGAGTTACACTTTGGTATTTAATTGTTTAATTATTCAACTATTGTGGCTAGTTAGCTAATTGGTTTAGTATAGTAGTGTGTTAATTTGTGTAGGTAGGTTAGCAACAATAAAAGTATTTCAATTTTCAAAAATAAAATATGATTTATACTAAGCAGTGATATGACGGTCATCAGAAACTTTTCCTCTTTCTCTCTATCCCTATCACTTTTGCCTCCGTCTTTTTACATGTTGCTAGCGTGTGTATTTCGGTAATTAGGTTAGAAGAATGTGTGGATGTCACTCACTTTGTGGTTATTTTTTTTGTTCAAGTCACAGTTTTCAGTATTTACTAGAAGGATAAGGAATATAGATTTGAGCCAGACACATCTATCTGTTGAGATCTCTGTAGCGGTGACTTTATTTTTATAGAGTTGAGTTACTACCTTCATGCCCACCCTTCTCTCCTTGGTGATGAACCTACTGTCGGCTAGTACACCGGAGGAAGTTTAGGAGTGCGTCGACTGGGAATCGAACCCGGACCACCTGTGTAGCTTGTGAGCACTATACCACTGAGCCACCTATGTGACTCATCTATAAAACTGTTTCTGTAACCATTCTTTTAGAAGTTGGATATGTTATTGCTTTTTTTTTAAAAATTGACCACTCTTACCAAAACTAATAACTCACTTCATCTGTAAGCACTGATAACTCTCCAGAACGGTATAGTTGGTAGATTAAAGGTTAATATTGTATTTAGGGGAGTGACCGCTTACACTTTGGGATTCTGAGGATGTGCGCGATAACCAGTATAAAAGAATCTCAAACATTGAGTACAAGCTTGCTCAGTTGTATACTAGTTAAAATAAAAAAAAACGTTAAACACTCTTAGTACTTGAAGGCGAACTCCGTTTGTCTACTTGGTTGGAATCTCATGAGTTCCTCGAAAAGGAATTAATTAGGCGATAAGTCACAGGTTCAAAGTGCACATCACTTATTCAAGGTTCATTACCATTAATTTGCATTCATTGCATGAATCCATTTTACATGTCTCACTGTTTTTTTTTTTTTACTTAGTTGCCAACACCTTAATTGGTTCTCTGTTGTTGTTTTTATTTCTATAGTTATTCGTCGTGGTCCAGGTCAAGATCCACAATGTGCAGATCCTTTAATTAATTCAGCGGATAAATTTCCTGATGCTTCATTCTCATCTAGTAGTGTATGGAAGAATGCAACGGATTTTCAGCCATTTAGAGCTAGGTAAGTTGTGTTTCACTCTTGCAACCCTATCAAATCAAGTATTGAACTACTTATGTATATTTTTTTCCTTGACGTTCCCCAGTGGAACATAGGGCTTAAAGCTAGTGGCTTGAAGTTTCTGCAGCAGTGTTTATTTTATAGGATGGGGTTGCTAGCCTCATGACCAATCTTTCCTCTTTACCAGCATTATTTGTGGCCTAGAGAGGTAAAGGAGTGAGTCGATCGGTGATCGAATCCCGTACCATGTGCACGGTCAGTGAGCGTCCTAACCGCTATACCACCGACGCACACTTATGTATTACTCAGTTGATATTTTTTTAGGGAATGTTTTCGTTCCAAAGTAATGCTAGAAAAAAGGTTGTCTGTTTATGTAGGTGGGAAAAGTATATTTTTTTGGCACACACATGTGATAATAATCCCAAACAATATTTATTTCCCTAACATACTGTGAGATAAAGTGTTGATCAGCTAGCTTCTGGTTAACAAAACAGAATATCCATATCAATAATCTACACCACCCATAATTTAAAAAAAAAAGCCAGACTGCAGACAGTCACTATCCCCTGTTTCATTTTTGGTGCTGTTGGTACGTGAACTTAAAATAATTGATTAACAAAACCATTTGCGCAGACAGATCCTACTAATTTTCAGGGACGAAACAAGCGAAACAAATTCTTATTCTTTATGAATGAAGTGTAACCTCAAAAACTCTGCACCCCATCCGTTTTATTTCAACTTCAAACAAGTTATTGTTTAAAAGGAACTGTTTAAATCCTATCGTAACAAAACCTGTCTATGTGCTGACGCTGAAGAGTTTTCGAAACACCCTGAGCAGAAACCTTCGGATGTTTGCCGTGCAGTTCGCTCCTGTGGAATGTAAGGTGATGCTTCAGGACAGTACTGTACTACCTCGTAGCTTAAAGATACGGAGTGAAATAGTAGAGCGTGTTGGCCACTTCACTTATTATGGAAGTTGTATCAACCCCAATGGACTGCTCGCTAACGAAATCTCAGCTCATGTGGCGTTTGCAAACTTACACCGTCTCTGGTGTAGATGTGATATCCAGGTATCGATCAATAGACGTGTGTACTGCGCAGCAATTCGCTCTGTCCTTCTTTACGGCTGTGAGAAATGGTCATTGAAGGTGGAAGATATGAAAAGGCTAGCTGTATTGACTACAAATTCTGGCGTTCTATATTACGTGTTGCGTAGTAGTATAGTGAGTTTTCGGGAATATAAATTTCTCCATGTCAATCAGTATGTCCCACAGCTTATATTTGCTTGGATAGATGATAGTAATAAATATCTGAAAATTGTACTCATTTTGTCAACATGCTAAACTTTTCTCTCTTTTCCGATATCATTTTGAGATAAGTACAGGTTAAAATGAATGGAAAAATCAATTGGAATATGGACACTGAATATTCTATCGTAATATACGAAGCTTCTCAGTGGGACGTGTTAATTACCGCTTTCTAGGCTAAGAGAAGGGGTTAAACAATTTATCACTGGCAATTTCTCAAGTGTTTGCGTTTCCATCCTCCCCTGTCGGATTGACTAAACGTTCTACTGATAACAATTATCTGACAGTTTGACATCTGAATTCAAAGCTTCGTGATATATTCACCAACAGTCATTTAACATACTTTAAATTCAATACATGTAAACCAAGCTTTATTATTATTATCATCATTATTATCGTGTTGTCCTTAAAGCAAACCAATAGCTATTGATTCCTATTTGGATAGTATTACATATTCTTTCAATTCCTTATATATATTTATAGTACACATGTCTATAAATTTACCCTGAAAAATGCATTAAGGTAAATTATAATTTCATATGCAAATCATGATAAATAGTACAAAATACCAAGTGTTCATGTGCTGCACTTTAGTCGACTTGAATAATCCTAGTTAGATGTACATATTTGTAAAAATAAAAACTAAAGGGTAGAAGAGGGAATATGAAAAGGATAGTTTCAGAATGTCATTTATTTGGTTTCTTATACATACATGAATCGATAACCAAATGACATTAAGTAATCTGTTTTCAAATTTCTTAGAGGAGTATGGAGGAGTTTCCCATAAAAACCTGTGAATACACTTTCCCGATGAGCAATGAGAGCCTTCTACTTGACTTCTGTCATCCTCTTCAACTGGGTCCACGATCACCGATAATCTCTCATCTCCTCCTCCCCAAACGACTTACTCCATGTCACCCTTAGACCCAGATTCGTCGTTTGCCATGGGGATTCCACTCGAACAATGGCCTGCATTGTCCAAGATGCTATTCGACGGTCTCCTCAACGCATGCCCAATCAATCCACCACCATTTTCTTCTACGTATATGTTAAGTGATCGGCTCTTGCGTGTTGGTTTGTTATCAACTAGAGTTTCTTGTTGCTAATTCTTTCTGTATGGAACCAGCGAAGTCAGCTGTTGATGTTAGTCTGCAACTTGTTGGAAATCCTTTTTGTGACACACAATGCAAGTTTCTGACCCGTATAGAAGAACTGACTGACTGACTTCACATATATGTTGAAAATCTGAATCTTTTTTTTCTTTATTCTGAGTTGGTGCAGAAGACCTTGAAACTGGTTTCAGGTTGCCTTTGCTATCATGACTAGCTTTGACATCTTCATCCGTGCCATCCTCCTGTGGTTGAAAGGATGCTTCTTAGATAAGTGATGTTGACTGGTGCTGTTTGTTGGTTACCTTCATGATATCCGTCTTTCCTATTTTCACCTGTCTTTTTTCTGTGCGTCGGTGGCACGGTAGTTAGGACTCTCGCCGACCATGCACATGGTCAGGGGTTCGAGCCCACGCCGACGCACACCTGATATCTATGGTCGGCCTGCGAAACTTGGGCTACCGATATCCACGCTGAGAATTCCATACTTATACCAAAAATACAGTGTGGAATCAAGCTGCAATCAAAAATAAAAAATAAAAAAAATAAATAGTCGTAGCAACTGCTTTTTCCTCTCTTCTAACCTATACTACTTATTTTGTACGGGGAAATAAAGACAGTATTCTTATGATCATGAAAGAGAATCAAGTTATGCCTTTGCTATTTATATAGTACACGTGAATATTTCAGTGATTCCTCTCTCCCTCTTTCTCTCTCTCTCTCTCTGTCTTTCTGCGTTCTTACTGTTGCTTATTTGTTTATTCCGCCCTCTTCTTTGTTGACCGATAATTTATTTACTTATCTGTTTTATTCTCATCCCTGAACAAATAGTGTACTTGTCTGTTTGTTTGTTTGCGTGCCTTCCTGCATGCGTGTTTGTGTTCCTCTATCATCCACCTGTTTTTTTTTGTTTTACCGTTGAAATCCTATGGTTACTATGAGTTTATACAATTTCAGTTCATTACTAATTGTTATTTACCTTACTTTGTTATTGCTGTTTGTATTTGATTAGTAAAGCTTAAAAGACAACGACGATTTCCTTTTCTTTCCTTTCCTTTCCTTTCATCTTCCATGGTTTCGTTTTAATGTTCTTCTGACCTGATTAATAAATAATACAACCAGGTTAATTGCTTTCACCTACTTCTCCTCCTTACTTGAAGTAATAGTAATAATAATATATTACTTTGTATTAGACCCTTCCATATAGTCGTTATAATTCAATGGTTTTTCTTTCCTTCCTCATGATGTATCTATTCTCCTTTTCCCCATTTCTTCCTTTTCTTCTGTCTTCCATCAATCTGCGTCGTCGTAGTCTTCTCTTGTCTTTCATTTCCTTCTGTCTGTCTACACCTGTATATCTCCCCGTTCTGTAGGTGCGTGTACACATTGAGAAGTATTTCGACAACTTGTATTTTTGTTAATTTACAATTACTTTATTTATAATTTCTTTGTCTTCTGATGCTCTCCCTCTCTTTTTTTCTCTGTGTCTGCCTTCGTCTCCTGATATACATACATCCAGTGATTATCCCAACAACTCATTTACCCTTACCACCACTGATAAACATGTAGAAATGAACTTCTTTTTTGTAGAAAGTATTTTTTGGTATGATTCATTCCAGCTTCTTTATTTGGCATGGTTATTGTTTCAACATTTAGATTTCAGTTGAGAGAGAGAGAGAGAGAAAGAGAGGAAACGAAAATTGATTGTGGCGGTTTATTTGTGTTGTGTACATACACACGGATTATTTTGCATATATGATAGAGCTGAATAATTCTTGTCTATTCTACTGACATTCTACTAGTAATTATCATTGCTAATTATTATAGACACTCTCTGTCTAATCTGTGTGTGTTTGACTGACTAACATCTTCCAGTGTGTGTGTGTGTTTTACATCTTTGTTGAGTAATTCATCTTTAAATGTGAACAATGTTGTCTAGAATACTCTATCACGTTAGAACAGAGAAGTTAGCCATACTCATGTCTAGTCATTCGAGTTGTGAAAGTAGTTGCAGATTGGCTAAATGAAGTCATCACCATATTGATATGACTAGAGAGTTTTCGTGGGAAATCGTGACCAGAGGGGTCCACCAAATCAGATGTGAAGAGAGATACTCACCGCTGACATTGACTGGTATCGCACTTATATATCATGAGTTTGCAGAAGTTAGAATTGATGGACTACTGGATTCCGTCCCAGCGGCCGAATGGTCTACCAATTTGGCTTGTAACTCGAAGGTTCCTGGGTTAGATCTGCGGTGGGGTGGTTGGTATGAGCTGATGAAGAGTCTTAAGCTAAGCTCAATACCGCAATCAATTAAATCCGTACAGATGAACACTTAAAAGTAATATTAAAACTTTTGGTGAAATGTATTTAATTGGTGGACGGTCACTAGCAGTGGAATCCAGGATAACGCGCATTTCGTCCCCTTTAGGACTCGTCGGCTGGATGTACCTGCATTTCTCAGTGAGCGATGATGTTCCCACCGAGGCTCGAACACAGTGCCCATAGTTTCAAACGCCAAAGCGTTATTCATTAGACCACTTGGACGAAATGCGCATCATGGATTCCACTGCTAGTCACCATC